CCTGAAAATTCCAAAGATGGGAGAGTCAAAGAGTATGACTGCGCTTCAGGTAAAATCCACTATCTAAATTCGTTAAGTTCCTATTCATTGATTCAAAATACATGATGTGATAAGATTGCATTTGAATGTTTTTGTAGGATCAGTGAAAAGAAAGGAAGCTTGGTGAAAGAGCAAGATGAATCTAATCACAAGAAATGGATCTTGATCGCATGGACTTGAAGATTAGATTTTGAGCTTAGATAGTTATGATAGAGTTGTTAGAAAATTTTGAAATATATAGTTTTCAATCGATTTTGCATTGTAAGGACAAATGTTTTCCGTTGTTTTTATAAATAAAATAAATTTTGGTTTGATTTATTTATTTATTTGTTTACTTCCTTGCAATGAAATCGTTATGAAAATTGATGTTTGAATATTTCTACAGCAAATGGATATGATTCTTATTTATGGTGTTTATGGAAAAAGTCGAGAATTTACCAAATAGGGAGAGTTTCTCATCGCCCAAGTTTCAATTGGACAGAAATTTGGAATCACGCAACTTGTTTGCATGATGAATGAGAAATTTCATATTTGGAAATTAGACTAATTCGTTGACAAAGTGTCAAGTGAAAGGACTAGGAGATCGAGCACACAAAGTTGTGTGTTGATCAAAGTCCACCACAAGAATAACAAAGATATTCGTCATGATTTTCTAAAGGTTTAATAAATATGATTATACTTATAAGATTAAGTGTAATTATGAATTGATTGAAAAAGTTTAAATCAATAGCAGCACGAATAAGAAGAATCAAGTAGGCAGAAAGATAAAAGTTTCTCCATTCTAAGAAGAAGGGAGAGTACCTTTTATGCTCTATGATAGGCCTTAATGATTAAGAACCATATCTCAATTGATCCTCTAAGTGAGTCTTAGTACAATTGTATGTTTAAGAAGAGGAATCAAGAATTGAAGAAATAGTTAAATCAAAAGGTCAATCGTACTTCGTTCCAATAACAAGTCTTAAAGTTAAGATTGTGACAATGAGTGAAAAGTATTAAGAAGGTTTATAACATTCATCAAATGTGGAAAGTTGTGATGTCTTGGCTAAGACAAAGGCCAACTAGGACCAATTTATGAAGTGTTTTGATAAAAACTACACTAACTCTTGAATATTTGTTTGTCAAGAAATGTTTATTGACAAGAGAATCTTATATGTCAAGGAGTCAGTGGGAGTCTTAATGTTCTTGAAAGGTTTCAAGAACAAATCAAATAAACCTTATCGATCATCACTAGCACACGAGTTGAGGTTTACAACCTATCGTGTTGACATTATTTTGTTTCTGTGCTGTTTCCAATTGAGTTAATTATGCATGTGAGTTCTATGAGTTCTCATTTTGAACGCATAAAAGGCAAGGCACCTTGATCAATGAAAGGTACATTGATAGGAAAAGGTGAGTTGCTTAACTACTTGGAAGACGTGGTGGGCAGCTGTGTTACCATAAGGCAAGAAATCAAGATTAAGAATGTTCGGTCCATATGAGTTTGAATTTGTCGTAAACTTTGGTTTTAACAAATTCACATGGATAGGAACACATACACCGTTTAAATCTAAGTGTCATAAGATTTCCTCCTTCATGAAAATGATGGTAAGGAAATGCTTTCACTAAGAAAGATTTTAAGAAGATAGTGATTGTAAAATTGCATTCTCGAATTCAATTATGGTTACGGTATCCCTTTCCATGATTTGAGTTGTGAGGTTTGGCAATTAGTCTTAATTGTTTAGACACACATATGAACTATCTAAGGCAAAAGGTGTATAGGTTCAAGAAGCCTTGATAAAAGATTATCAAAGCATTAAGTATTAGAAACATGGACTTAAGAAATTCAATAGGTATTGTTTTTCTGAAAGTTAAGATGTTTATGAATACATGTCGAAGCTAGTGGGAGCATAAGTGTTATGTTTTATAATAATCATCATGATAGTGGGAGCATAATGTTATGATTGTATGATTATTAAGGAAAGTATTGCAAGTTGGCAATATTAATTATAGAAAACAAGAGTCATTCTTTGCAAAGTCGTAAGGATGGAATAGTTGTTTTGCTATAATTAAGGGAGAGAATATTATGCTTCATTTCAAATCTAAAGGCTTAGGTTGTGGAATGTTAATAACTTAGTCAAAGAACATAGTGTGTTCTTAAAATTTCGATTATGATTACGACATTCCTTTTCAGAATTCAAATGTTGAGAACATAGCAAATAAAACATTATGCGTCGTGTCCCATACGCTTCGGGTATAGGATCGATTGCAAATGCTTTAATGTTTGACCATTCTAAAATTTTCAAAATGTCTAGCGTATTTAGAGGGAAAAGGGACTAGAATTGGTTTTGACTAAAATGATTAAACAACTATCAAAGGACAATCCAAAGTTCGACGAGGATTGGTTGCTTATGAGTAGTTGGAAGCATGGTATTAAATGGACCATATCGACATTATTATGAATAGAAAAGATTCTATTAAGAATGAGTTGTCATATGGAAATTATGGAAATGTTTCCATATTGGATGGACCATATCGACATCATTACGAATAGATAAGATTCTATTAAGAATGAATTGTCATATGGAAAATATGGAAGCGTGTCCATATTGGGAATTGAATATTGAAAATCTATGTCTAGATTAGAAACTTTTATACAAAAGGATGTTCAAAGGAATGTACTTTGAGTGAGAGACATCATATCTAAGGAATTGTCTTGTAACAATCTATGATATAAGATTTTGTAATATCGTTGGCAATAGACTTTGTGACTTTGGTGCAGTGACATTACGAAAGAATCATTGCATAAAATGTTAGAATCTAGCATATTCTATAAGTAGCAAGAATTTGATATTCTTTCACTTATGAAAAAGGATTTGGAGTTGTGAAATGAGAATGATTGGAAATGTGTTCAATTTGATCTATTTCACAAAGTAAGAACCATAGGTAAACATTGTGTGCATGCTAGGAGCATGGGACAAGTGTAATAATTCAAGTAAGAAGTTGATTACCCGAAACGACAAATAATGAGTAATCGATATGGTGATAAATAAAAGGAGTTTTATTTATACTCAAAGGTTTGAGGCCACATGGGATTAGTATTATTCTTGTGTTTCACTTTGCATGTTTTGACTTCCTAAATAATTTAATTGGTTAAGAACAGTCAAATTATTCGAACGGGCCACAGTCGTTCATATGTTGGAAGTAGGTATGAATGAAGACTGTCGTGAATTGGTGTGTGGATTGTCTAAAAGAGTATTAGACATAAGCAAATGTTTGCTGCAACGTTTATGAGTGCTTATGAATATGAATTTGAGCATTGGATTAAACCCACGCTCACTTGGATCACTCCATGAATTGTATCACGAGTGATTGGTGAGACGATAACATCTTATATTCTTGAAACCGAGATGTGTGAGTTGTATCTTGCAAATCGGTTACACATTGATAATATGAAAATGCACTAGTAACTTGGTGTTATAAAACATATTGTTGTGTGTGATTCGGTGAGTGAGCGCAAGCAAGCATTGTATCGAAGTTTATCCGTTCCTTTTATCCAAAGAAGGATAAAAGCGATATCTTTGGGCCCCTTGATGATTTAGTGATGACAAACGTAAATGCTCGGCCGAGCTAGGGCTAATTTGATTTGTTCGATTAGTCAGTCGTCATAAATCGGGAATCGAGATATAGTACAAAGAGAATGATTTGAAATCATATCTCATATGATATCTAGAATGGAGGAATATATGATCCTTTATCTAAAGGATACGCGTATCTGATATGATCAGAGTTGACAGCGGCTTTGGAAAGCTACGATTGCAGATCAGGATCTGAAGTCATACGTAGAATAGTTATTAGACTTATCCAAGTGGGAGACTGTTGGATTAGTGTCTAAGTCCATAACTATTTTGGTATGTACTTGACCCGATGGTGCATGGTCCTTTTGGGTTGCCTTCACCAAATCAACTTGATAGGATGAATTATGGAGAGAAAGGATTAAATATGATTTATTAATATATTATGAGAATAATATATTAAAGGAGAAATCATATTGTTTAATTAATATTAGTCAATAATTAATTAGTAATTTGGTTTGTGACTAAAAGAGATTAATTAAACTTAAGAGATTGGAATTGTAATTATAAGATAATTGCAATTTGGGCCATGGATTGCCTTATATTATAAGGTGGATGAATTCTATGGGGGAAGACCATATGAAATCATCCAAGGCCTTGAGGAAAGGGCTCCATGGGTTGCTTAGGGCTTAAGCATCCAATTTAGGGTTTCCTTGTTAGATAACCCTAATTGCCTCACTATATATAGATCCCTTAAGGACCAAAAACGTGGCTAGGCTTCTTGCTAGGGTTTCACACGAGTTTTGGTAGCCTCCATCCTCTCTCCTCTTCATCCTCTTGCTTATGGTGTTTGTGAACCTTTAGAGGAGTGACATTTGTGACTCTAAGCTTTCTAAAGTCAATACAAGGAGATTTGGGATTGTTATTGCTATATAACAATCAAGGTATGATCTTAAACCTATTCTCATGTTAATATGATTACTTGAATGCTAGAACTAGGGTTTATAGTCTTGGATAACTTGCATGTACAATAGAGAAACCTAGATCCAAGCATTAGGGTTTGTATCAGCACATAGGATGTTCTTAGGACTAAAACCCATCAAATAATTCACATAATTACTTGAAAATTGTGTTACAAAAATCCTAAGAAAATATTTTCAACCACACAAAAAATTTGGTACAAAAAATATTTTAACTACTCGTCATTTCCAAAAAGATAAAAGGTTCCATGTCTCTACAAACACACAACCCTAAATTAAACTATTACATCCCAAATATTGTCTTAAAACATAATCCAAAGATACTTGTAGATACAACCAAAAAATAAAAACAAATACTTCAAGGAGCCATGTCCTCACACTTCTTCGGACCCTCAACATCCTGGTAGTTAACATTCACTCCTCCAACTTTCTAGTCCTTATGCTCTTCACGCTTGAAATTCTTTAGATCTTGCTCCAACTTGGTCTTATATGCAGATTTCATCCTATTCTTCTCGAAATCCTCCACCATTTTCAAACTAGCCTCCAAAACCGACACAACCATAAATATTCTGGTCATGTTATGGAAATCATCAAGCTGATCCTTCAAGCCATCTCTTTCCTTGCCATTCTCTCTAATTCCTCTCTTGACAGCTAACTCCTTCACCTTTAATGCAAGATCCTTATCATTTCTCTTCATATCTATATCAAACTATTTCTTGGTGACTTCAAGCTCATTCTTAAGTTATTTAGAACCTTTCAACATTAAGGTACTAGCATGTAATCCAAAAATTTATGTTAAGAAAACATCTCCAAGATATAGAAGAATGAAGAAATACAACTTACAAATTGAACCAACATATCCATTTTCTATTTGATCTCAAAACGATTGAGCCTATCAAACATATCTTGAACCACCTCCAAAGTGAATTTCCTCTTCTTGGGATCGAGACTTTTTGCCTTCTTTTCTGATTTCCTTGCACCTATTCAGTTTTCACTACATGATCTTTAGAAAGGAAATATTCCATATTGAAAAGGGTACAAAGAAGAGCACCTGAACCAATTTTCCTTGCTCCTGATCATAAAATGATATTATCAATCAAAATAAGAGTGTGTGAAATAGTAATACCTTGTAATGTTCCTGTAGAAATCACTGATTTTGAATCCTCTACCATGATGGATGTGCAAAAGTTTCGTGAAAGACAAGCCTCTACCAGTCTAAAAGCTTCTTTTCTCCACTGGAAGCCTCATGAATCCTTGGACCTTCTCTTTAGTATCCACTTGAGGAGAACAAATATCATCAAGCTTACGGACTATATAATGACAAAAGAGGAGGATCAAAATCAATCAAAGAGCATGAATAGAAATACCTTAAATGTAGAATCATTACCCTCAGTTAGCCAATCCTAGGAAATAAGGTCTTGTCAAAGGGAACTAGGCTTAACAAATAAGTATCTCCCTTTCCAATCATCATCGTGATGGGTTTTACCCATAAGAAGTTTCCTATGTGCGCATGAAAAACCCTAATGCTTGGATCTAGGCTTTCTAATCAAACATGCTATGAATCCAAGACTTATAATGACTATTTAGGTGTAATAACAATATTGAAACAGATCTAGAATCATACCTTTGAATTCCTTGTTGATCTTGTTGTCTTGGAGCTTCTAGAGTCACAATTGTCACTCCTCTAATGTCTTACAAACACCAAATAGCAAGGAGGATGATTTGGAGGAGAGGAGAGGAATTCGGCCAGAGTATCTTTACTTTAGATGGGTACCGAATTCTCTATCCCATAGGGTCTATTTATACTTGTAGACTCCTTAAGGGTTACAACTTAAACCCTAATTGGATAACTTAGACTTTAAGTTAATCCATATCCTTACCTTAGATATCCTTTGGACGATTTTGGCTTATCCAAGCCCTAGAAATCATCCAACCTATCTTCCATAAGGATTTACAGTCTAAAGTGTAACTATCAAACAATTGACAGTTTATACCCTCTTATTTAATTAATCTCCTTAAGTCACCAAATTAACTCCAATTAATTCTATGACTTATATTAATCAAATAACAATATATTATTCTTTATATTATTCTCATAATATACTAATAATATTTACTCTCTCTTAATAAATCATCCTATCAAGTTGCTATGGTGAAGGCAACCCAAAAGGACAATGCACAATCGGGTCAAATACTTGCCTAATATAGCTGCAGCCTTAGACACTATTCCAACAGTCTCCCACTTGGATATGTTTAGTAACTATATGCGCATGTACATTCCGATTTGCAATCGTAGATCTCAAAGACGCTGTCAAACTCTGATCTAATCAATCTTGTCCTTTAGATAAGGGATCGGACAGTCCTCTGTTAGATATCATGCTGACAATACTATGGAATAGTTAGTCTAGCATTTGGTTTCTCGATCTCCGATTTATTTGACATAGAACTTAATCGAACACATCAATTCAGTTCTGACCGGGCCCGGCACATAAGTCAAATCAAATCATCAAGCGGCCGAGATATCACTTTTTCCTTCAAAGGATAAAAGTTACAGATAAACTTCGACTTATATGCATTTACTTATTCATTAACCAACTACACACAACAATGCGTTTTATAACATCGAGTTACCAATGCATTTTCGCATTATCAATGTACAATCAATTAACCAATAACAAACCATATATCTAGGTTTTAAGACTATATGATATTATCGTCTTGCGATCACCCATTTACTATCACATTCCATAAGGTGATTCCAGCAAGTGCGGGTTTGTTCCAATGCTCAAACCTAGTTCATAAGCACTCATGAACGTTGCAACAATCTTTTTCTATGTCTAACACCATTTAGACACTCTACATACCTATTCATGACAATCTTCATTCATACCTACTTCCAACATATGAACGATTGTGGACAATTTGAATAATTCGATTATTCCTAATAAACTCAATTATTCTGGAAGTCAAAACATGCAAAGTGAAACAATAGTTAAACAATTAACATAAGATAGTAACATTACTTATAAATAAAACTCCTTTATTTAATCATCAAATGTTAATTACATTTATCTATTACACGTTTCTAATACTATCTAATTTATGCTAACATCATCCTTCAGCCCAATGCTCCTAGCATGCTGCAAGTGCTTAACCCTACTCAGTCCCTTCGTAAGTGGATATGCTGGGTTATCTTCTGATGATATCCTCTTAACTACGAGTTGTCCTTCTTCTACACGATGTCTAATAAAGTGATATTTTCTGTTGATATGTCTTGATCTACCATGATCCCTCGGTTCCTTGGTCAAGGCAACTGCTCCTTCGTTATCACAGAAAATCTCCATGGGCTCCTTTATGGCAGGTACAACTCCAAGATCACCAATGAAGTTCTTTACCCATATTGCCTCCTTTGACGCTTCGCTCGCTGTAATGTACTCTAATTCGCACGTTGAATCAACTACAGTTTCCTGCTTGGAACTCTTCCATGTCACTGCTCCTCCATTTAGGGTAAAGACCCAGCCCGACTGCGAATGGTAGTTGTCCCTGTCGGTCTGAAAACTGGCGTCACTATACCCTTGCACCTTCAAGTCATCACTCCCTCCAAGGACTAAGAACCATTCCTTCGTCCTCCGAAGGTACTTAAGGATATTCTTCACCGCAACCCAATAGGCTCTGCCAGGATTCCCTTGATATCTACTAACCATGCTCAGAGCAAAGGCTACATCAGGGCGAGTACAAGTCATAGCGTACATGATTGAGCCAACTGCGGAAGCATATGGAACTCAGCTCATTTCAGCTATCTCGACTTCGGTACTCGGACTTTGAGTCTTACTCAACTTGGCATTGCTTTGTATCGGTAATTCTCCCTTTTTCGAGTTTTTCATACTAAAACGTTTTAGTACCTTCTCTAAGTAAGTGTTCTGACTAAGTCCTATTAGTCTCTTACTTCTTTCTTTTACTATCCTTATTTCCAAAATATAGGAAGCCTCTTCGAGGTCCTTCATAGCGAAGCACTTCCCGAGCCAGGACTTAACCTCCTGCAGAGTCGGGACGTCGTTTCCTATGAGTAATATGTCATCGACATATAGAACGAGGAAGCTTACTACACTCCCACTGGCTTTGACATATACACATGATTCATCTTCGCTTCGTACAAATCCAAACTCTTTGACTTTCTCATCGAAGCAAAGATTCCATCTGCGAGACGCTTGCTTTAGTCCATAAATGGACTTCTCAAGCTTACACACTCTATTCGGATGCTTCGGATCCACAAACCCCTCTGGCTGAGCCATGTAAACATCCTCAGCCAACTTCCCGTTAAGGAAAGCGGTCTTGACATCCATTTGCCAAATCTCATAATCATGAAATGCGGCAATAGCTAGCATCACTCTAATAGATTTTATCTTCGCAACTGGTGAGAAGGTCTCTTCATAGTCAACTCCGGGAGTTTGAGTAAAGCCCTTCGCAACTAATCGCGCTTTAAACGTGTGTACCTTTCCATCCACGTCGGTCTTCTTCTTGAAGATCCATTTGCACCCAACGGTCTTACGTCCAGGCACATTATCAACCAAATTCCAAACTTGGTTATCATACATGGATTGGATCTCTCTATCCATTGCCTCTTTCCATTTTGCAGACTCCGGGCCTGCCATGGCTTCCTTATAGCTATTAGGTTCATCAAGATTTATTAGTGTACTATCACTAATATACGTGTCCCCTTCGGTAGTAATATGAAAACCATATAACTGGGGTTGAAACCTAACTCTTTCGGAACGTCTAAGAGGTAATGATATGTCAATCGGTTCAACCGGAGTTTCCTCCTCGGGTTGAGTGCCAGCGGTAGAGGTTCCTTCATCTATCGACTCTTGAATCTCTTCAAGATCGATTTGCCTCCACTGTCTCCTTGGCCTATGATTTCTCGCTCTCGGAAAACTCCTCTCCTCGCAACAAAGACAACATTGTCCTTCGGTCTATAGAAGAGATATCCAAAGGATTTCTGCGGGTAGCCGATGAAAATACATCGCTCACTACGAGGTTCGAGCTTGTCGTGAGTATCTCGTCTTACGAAAGCCTCGCAACCCCAAACCTTGATATGTGCTAACGAAGGAGCTTTCCCCATCCACATCTCGTGAGGTGTTTTGGCAACCTTCTTAGTAGGGACTCGGTTAAGGATATGGGAGGCAGTCTCTAAGGCATACCCCCAAAAAGAGATAGATAGCGAAGCACGACTCATCATAGAGCGAACCATGTCCAACAAGGTTCGATTACGCCTTTCTGCCACACCATTCAATTGTGGTGTCCTAGGTGGCGTCAATTGTGAAACTATTCCACACTCCTTGAGATAATCGTGGAATTCAAGACTTAGGTACTCTCCTCCTCGATCGGATCGAAGCATCTTGATCTTCCTGCCCAATTGATTCTCCACTTCATTCTTAAACTCTTTGAACTTTTCAAAAGTTTCTGACTTTTGCTTGATTAAGTAGATATACCCATATCTACTATAGTCATCGGTAAAAGTCACGTAGAAGCGGTTACCATCCTTCGTGGTAGATCTAAACGGTCCACACATCGGTATGTATGAGGTCCAATAGACCCTCACCCCTTTCGCACGTACCAGCGAAGGGTGACTTAGTCATCTTTCCAAGTAAACAAGACTCGCATGTGTCATCTTCCCTAAGGTCGAATGACTCCAACACTCCATCCTTTTGGAGTTGGGCTATGCGTTTCTTGTTGACATGTCCAAGACGACAATGCCATAAGGATGCCTTATCCATACTATTGGAAGAATCCAAGTACAAAACATCATTTCCTAAGTTATCAACAATCATAACAGTTTCATAAATTCCATTACATGGTATAGCTTCAAAGTAAAAGACACCATTTAGATAAGCTAAAATAAAACCATTCTTATTATTAAAAGAAAATCTAAAACCTTGTCTAAACAAACCATGAAAAGAAATGATGTTTCTAGCCATTTCTGGCGAATAGCAACAATTGTTCAAATCTAAAGATAAACTATTCCTAATCACTAAATAATACACTCCAATCTTGGTCACAGGCGACGATCTTCTGTTCCCCATGATTAGATTTATTCTTCCATGCTCCACGTCTCTACTTCTTCTTAGTCCCTGCACATTAGAACAAATGTGGTAACCACAACCGGTATCAAGAA